ATCGTGATCTCTAGTAATGAATCAAACCATGCTCTGATACCACTGTTGGGAAACGTGCAAGTTTTAAAAACTTTTCGAAGGATTTAAATTCATAGATCTTGATTCATTACATAGAGACAAGTTTCATGCAAAAATAAAACATGATGTATCATTCAATTAAAAGATTGAATACCTACATCAAGGTTTGAGTAAACCTTAGATCTCTCCTCTAAAGTGAATGTTCTCACTTATTGTAGATCCCTTTCTCCATCTTCTTGGTAATTGTTTTGCCTTTAGGAATCACTCATATGCCTCCATGAATGACCTTGGAAAACTAGGCTTGTGGGAGCCTCCATTAGATGAGAACATAAACCCTAATATTCTAGAGAGAGAAAAGTTATTCCTATTTTCTTCTCATCAAAATCACCCCTAAAATATACATAGACCATGTATATTTATAGGCAACATAAAGGTAAAGAAAAGGAAACAACAAATCCTTCTCCATCTCTAATTCATATGTCTCAAATCTAATATGATTCCAATATCAAGTTGGGCTATGAGTGAGAATCCATTGGGCCTATTATTTTATTGGCTACAATGAATTAATGATTGACCCGGTCCATGGACCCAATTCAATTAATTCATAAATTAATTTCTACTCCACTAAAAGAAATTAATTGAACTCCAATTAAATAATAAATAACCTCTAAGTCAATATTGCACTTTGACCCCTCTATGCATAATTAGTTATCGGATAAATAATGCCATCAATCCGACTACTTAATTAATATATTTATTTTGGTACCTTTGATTATTTCTGGCTCGATCACAATAAAACATTTGTTCGACAAAAATAATAATTTAATAAATAAATATATAATAAATCATTTTGTCTAAAATCATACGAAGGCCTTCGAATTTACTTTGTGATCAACCATAATCAATACAAAATAAATACAAGTAGCAATGATGCAAATATTGAAAATATAACCCTCTAACTATTAATTACATAACTACCCGAAGTGTCGGTCTAAGGATCCCGAAGAATCCGCCGAACAAATCAAAATAATTATTAATTAATAAAAGAGTCTATACTTTTCTCATGCTTAAGAGTCAAATGCCATGACGGTGATAGGGAGTAATTGCATACGACGGCTCTCGCAATATATCTCAACCTAACGCGGATCCAGTTCAAGTCTTAATTAATTATGAGTCCATCCATAATTACCGATTATGAACAATTTATAATTACTATTTATATATCATGCATTGATTGCCATCACATACATATATATATATATTTCTTGTAATTATATGGACACTATCAATTTCATAGTGAATCGAAATATAATACATTGAATTCACCAATTGTATAAAACATAAATATTTCAGAAACGTCAGGAACATATGTCAATTAATCCAAACAGGAATTTGCTATGTCAGGACATATAAATCCCAACAGTACATATTCATGTTCAACATTGCAAAGGACCAAAAAGATTTGGGGCAAAAATTCTTCTTAGCCTGGACAGAATGGTACCTCCTGGAAACTCTTAGAATTTGACAACACGTGATTTGATATTCTTTGATAATTCTTAGCCTTTTTTTGTCTTTTTTTCTTTTAACATTGTCATATTCAGGGTTTGTGTTTGGACTTCCCTTTTACTACTCCTGCTGGCCATATTGGGTGCATGCTCTATAATCAATAGGTTTACGCGTCTGGCTGGTGAACTATTTGGTCTTGTAGTTGCAATGCTCTTTATGCAGCAGGCTTTTCGGTTGACTATGGTATATAATCTTTCAGCTGATGTGTTTTAGCTAACATCCTTAGCCAGTGTTACACCAGTACTGATTACTTTCAACTAAATACCCTTGTAACAACATACTAATATATGTTCCTCATTGTATTTCAACTCATGAATTCCATTCCTTAGGGAGTTGTTGAGGAGTTCGGCTGAAAACCCTAATCAGACTGCACTTCTTCCTTCTTGGCGCTTTGGAAATGGGATGTTAGCATTGGTTCTGTCCTTTGGCCTTCTGCTTACCGCATTGAGGAGTATTACAGAACAGGTATGCTTTATTGCTTTGAAACTCTAAATTAAATTCATTCCTTGCTAGTTTAAAATATAGATTATGTATTTAGATTTCTAATTTAAATATCTATTGGTTACTCTTAGCAATCATGAGCTTATAGTTTGGGGTTACCTCCTCTGTCCTCATAATCAGTCGGTTTTGTGCTGTTAGGATTACAAATAATTTTCTGTTTTTTGCTAAAATACTCGGTGTATTTACCTTTTAGTTTTCCGACTCTAAGATGTGATTTCAAGGTTGGCTATGGGGATTTGTTGCAGATTTTGGCATCTCACTAATAGTGCTTGTGTGGACAGTTGCATCTTACATATCAGTTAACGATGTCCCAAGAGGGATTCCAAGGTAGCTTTTAAGTCCAAATTCATCGTCTCGCCGTGCATATTCCAAAAAAAAAAAAAAAAAAATTCTTTTTTCCCCGGCCTTTTAAGCTACCTATTGCTTCCTAATTTTGCTTGAAACTAATGGTCGACTATTTGAACAGGAAATGTTGAATGTTCCTTCCGCAACTACGATTGCTGTACTTTACTACTTTAATCACTGCGTTGCATCTCAACTTGCACAACAAAAGGAGTTCGATCTGAGTTCATATCATTTCAACCTCCTTCTTATGGGATTTTTGGTGAGCTGTTAGCCTGGAACTTTAATAATCTTTAATCTCTGTATTTCAATGGAAACAGTCACACCAATTATTGAACCAGCGGCTTTTGTATTTGATCATACCTAGCATGGCTTTTCCTTATTTCCTTCAAATATTGTTTTCGACCAGGTATGTGGTCTCGTTGGCATTCCTCCTTCCAATGGAGTTATTCCACAATCTCCAATGCACACAAAAAGCTTAGCGAGCCCGAAACATCAGGTAATATCTAATTATTCAAGGTACTGAAAGTTTATATCTCACGTCTGTGTAATTGAAAGAATTCTCTCGTCTTTTTGAACTATTAGATTTTTTTTTCTTCTTCTTCTTCTTGTAGTGTTAATTTCGATAGGAAGATGCCTTACCCTTTTACTGATAATATACATGTCTGCACTCTCCATTAAAAGAGGCGCTACATAGTTAATTGTCTCGGCATTTCTATCACTGTAATTTTTTAAATTCGTGAAATGCTTCTGCACAGGACATATAGATGTGAGCCGATTCTGGTGTTGGAAAACTAATGCAGAAGCACAAAAAGATGCCCTCCTCCTCTATGGGTTGCGGCAAGGCAATGGAGAGAGACTATCCTTCATCATTGCCTCATTGGGCCCATTTGTTGAATGAGTGTGGCATACTGTTCTCTCATCTCATTCTATTTAACATCACCAACCGCTAGAATTCAATCCGGAGTTTACATTATTAGTCTACAAGTTTATTTCAGTGTTTATCATCGAACTGATTTCAGAACTAGCTTGTTCATTAAAGTTTGGAGATGGTCATACTATAGAACTAGGATATTAAAGTTTGGACGAGTTTGTTTTCAACTCTTTGGAAGAGACTAGTTTTTCTTTAGATGTTTGTAAATTTCAAATGTGTCATTTTGAATTACCATGTAACTTTTCCAATGAATAATTATGTTTGTGACGATTTTGATTCCATTAATTTGACTCAAGGACATTTCTGTGTCTGGTATGATTCTTAATTTGTGATACACATCTTGCAATAAGAAGCAAGAAACTCATTCATGATAACATGTTTACTTAATGTGACAGAAGCCTTTGTTTTCTGTTTCTGTTTTCAATGGAAATTGAGGAGCAAACTGAACTCCACTAAAATGGTCAGAGGGATTATCCTCCTAGGCACAGTGTGTTGTCGGTCTAAAAGATTCTGATACTCTAGTCGGAGAGACAGATCAAGGAATGAAATTTATAGCAAGAACTTGGGATCAAGTGTTTTCGTACCTCGTACTTTCTCCACTCTCTTCCTTCTTTTATCCGTTAGACATTCTCATTTCGGACAAATGCGTGCTTGTAACCATAGCTATTAATGCCAGTAGTTGAGAAAGTTATGATTGTCCGTTGTTTTTATTCTCTACTTGTTTGAACTTTGCCCTAAGTAGCTTTTTCCCTCTCGTTTGTACTTTACTAACGTGCTTCTGAGTTCTGTCGTACAAATGTAACCATAGTTAAACCCTAAAATCTACGGAGTACTAGTTTTGGAAGAAAAAGTGACTTTTCTTACCTCGTTCTTTCTCCACTCTCTTCCTTCTTTTATCTGTTAGACATTCTCATTTCGGACAAATGCGTGCTTGTAACCATAGCTATTAATGCCAGTAGTTGAGAAAGTTATGATTGTCCGTTGTTTTCATTCTCTACTTGTTTGAACTTTGCCCTAAGTAGCTTTTTCCCTCTCATTTGTACTTTGCTAATGTCCTTCTGAGTTTTGTCGTACTAATGTAACCATAGTTAAACCCTAAAATCTACGGAGTACTAGTTTTGGAAGAAAAAGTGACTCGATATTGTATTGATGAAAATGGTAGTCCAAGGTCAAATGTTATTAAGAATTACTGCAAAATTGTTACTGCTCTCGTAAGTCAGACGTAGTGGTATTTGCTTGTCTCTCAAAGTAGATGGTGGAACTTGGAAGGTTGGCGGCAAAGTGTTTGCGTGAGTATAAAAATAATAATAAATAAGTAGGACCGAGTGAAAATAGAATAGCTTTGCAAATATAGCTCACAGTTAAAACTCAACTTCAGCATGTCCATTTATTGGAGGTTTAGAACCTTGCTTCAATCTCTTGCTATCAGTTTTTCAAATTCAATGTAGAGTTGCTATCAAATCCCATTTTATATTCACAAAACAACAAAATGTTAAAAACAAACTTCGGTGTTTTTTTTTTTTTTTTTTTTTAATAAGAATTTCTATAATTCCAAATGAGAAATTCACGATGATTTCATCTCGATTTAACACAAAACAATAAACAAGCAAAAATAATAAAAACAAAACTAACCCAAATACCTAATCCGTCGGAATTTCAGTGGTGGCAATTGCCCCAGCTGAAAATTCTTTTGTAATTATACCGTAAGTTTTTTTTTTTTCTTGACAAAGTAAGGGGACACGAACACAGACACACCCATTCGAGGAGTTGGGCACTCAATCAAACTAAGCCAGTGGATAATGTCTCAACTGTAGTACCCTTCCAAAAAATAAAATGGAAACAAATCACTTCTCCACTATATCCAAGATGCCCAATTTTTTGTGCTTCATCAAAGCATTCAGATTTGGAAAGGAAGAGTAATCTGGTGGAAAGTCAAAAGTTCGATACCCATTGCAAAAATTACCATAAAAAACAAATCCACAATGGATTTTTCACAAGAAACAAGAAATGGAATAATGGAACTTCACATGCAACAATAATAGAAATAGGGAGTTCGAAAAGTTAGACCTCAAGCTCTTCTAAACCTTCATTCAGGTCCGAACCGACCGAGGACCAGCAGCAGGATTGACATTTGCATTGGAGGATGATTCCGTCGGACCACCTCCTGTGCTCACACCAAAATCTTTAACTTGATTTCTATATTCAACGTCATTTTCAAGTTCTTCTGGAAAAGCTTGGTGGGTATTATATGGACAAGCGATAAAGCTTCTCAACTGCAAGTTCCTCGGCTTCTTGACAGCTTGATGACTCATCATTAGCAATGGTAGGTCTGCGCCTGTCTTCATCAATTGCTCCACCACTCTTATGAGGAAGCTCCGATGGATTTATGAAGCCTTCCAAGCCTTCTTTTATTTCATTTGCGACTTTTTCTGCCCTTGAAAGACTAGAATTTGTGCTAAGAGAGCTTCCTTCATAAAATTCACATTGCGAGGAAGCTCCAGCAGCAAAATACTTCGCAGCTCTTAAGTTAGACCCTGCAATATCTTCCTCCCGCTTTTTCTTTTTTCGGTCATTTGCTCCACCTAATACAAGCTTGCTTTCCTGTGACTCTTCTGATTCTTTATGGCCAGAAACCTCGGGTTCTGAAACCCGCCTACTCTCCCTGGATGCTCTGACAGGACGAACCCCACCAGGAAATACAAAATTGGGTATACTACTACGTCTTACATGGGTTATGTGGATCTCCATCCCAGGCTTCCATAACATGTACATGGCAACAGAGTGTTTGAATTCCTCAACGGTTGGCCTTATATCAAACTGTTCACCTTCAATTACTGGAATTCCTTGTTTCCGTTGCAGACCCATGAAGTAACAGCAGTGGAAAGGTCTGGTTTTGTCTGAAAAATCACCTGGGTGTGGATGGCATTGGAGCTTATTGAAAGTGTCTCTCTCAATCTGGATTTGCACATAAATAACAGATATTAAGACAAGCATATCTTATAATTAGAAAAAACTAATAATAAAGACAGCTAAAAACAACACAATATGAAAAGAAAACTGTGCCACCTTCAGCATAAGCTGACGGAGATGTGATTCAACCCAGCCTTTCCATTTCCTCAGGTCATCTGCATTCGCTGCGGTGCTATCTATCTGCAGATAATTCTTGTATGCTTCAAAGAAGGGGTAAGGCCCAAAAAGTGTATTCCAGTCAGCCTTATTCGCCTCTATACACTGCAGGGATCGGCAAACACAAAATTTGCAGCAAATACTGATAGCAACATTCGTTTGGGAAACACAGAGAGTAATTCCCAAGATCCCACCATAGAATAATTTTAGTATTGGTCATTCACTAAACTCTACCAATATCAAATTTCTTACACGAATGACATATTTTATCAAGTCATACCCGCCACTGAATTCAGAATCTAATCCAAGCCGAATTAGTGACCCAAATGGCCAAGGTATTGATTACACAGAAACTTGTCAAAAAGACCAGTGACTCTAGTCCAGATTGTACAACAGCCAACAGAGTGGAAACAGAACACAAATTCGCTGGTATAGTTTACAACAATTCAACCCTAAGGTCTGTTGTGCAGAACTAAAGAGACAAGTGTCCAATACCTTGCAAACAACCAAACAATCAAAATAACAACCAGATATGACCAAAATGTTACAAAAGGGAACATGTATGCACAAGAGCACAACCACACTATTGAGTTCAATATAACGGAACACACATGCCAATGTGGGAACTTTCCAGCAATTATTGAAAAAGTATCGCAAAAGTAGGAAGAGAGACTGCATTAGAAATAAAAACAATAGAACAAATCTATGCGGAATTATTATAGCCCGATCAACATATTAACTTTAACGGGAAAAGATATTTATATTAAAAGGAAGGGAAAATAATTTATTTTTATCACAAAACCATACCTCACAAATTTCATTGCCCCTCTGAAATTCTTCTGTCAGTATCCGCAAAGTATTCGAAGACACATTATAGCTAGAGTTCATGCAAGGATAAACAGGAGTAATTGTAGGCATCAAGTCGAACCTGTCCTCGGGATATCTTCTGGGATCCCAAACTTGGAGTCCTAGCGAAGCCTCCTCAATATGACAGAGCATTACTGGATTCGGCCAACGCCACTGAGTATAGAGCCTGAAGAACCGAGATACTAACATATTGGGCAGGGCATTGGGATATAGCTGGCAGACGCGAGCAACAAGTAATGCCCAACTTATACCACCTAGAAACCCAACAACCTGGCCAAGACAGAGAGGAACACGATCTTAGATATCAGATATTATAGTACAAACTGTAATATGATCTTGCCTTTAGAAAGAGAAAGATCTTCCCGTACATTGGAATAAATGCCACGCCGCTTCGCCCAAAACTTCATACATCTCAAGGTAGTTCGGAAATTCTGTGCAACAGAACAGAAACACAATGACGGACAAGCAATGCTATGGAAAGAATGAAAAGCAGATTTCTGAACTCAGCTCTTCACAAACCCAAAGAACAATAATAACCATAATAAGGTATCTAAAAAGATATATAAGAACCACGGCTGGAAAACCTGAATATTTGGCACCAAACGCAGAATTTGGTCAGTTGCTCTGCAACCATTGAGACTAAGAACTGTTTGCTCATCCACGTTTTGTAGTATCAAGTCCTGTGAAATATCTAAATCCTACACCAAGTAACATTTGAAACTGAATCATTAAATGTACTTTAAAATTCCAAATTTTTTTAGCTCAACAACCCATTGCAGCATCAACTCAAAATTGTACTGAAGTAAAAAAATCTTATCTTACGCATTTCAGGTTGATCAAGGAAGTTAAAGCATGGGTCTTGAATTGGTCAAGGCAAGAAGGTAAGAGAAAACCTTCAAGCTAAGTATGAATCTTGTCGAAAACACAAATTAAGAATCAAGGCATAGCTGTGTACTCTATACAGCACCATTCATTAGGAATACACCTTATTTGAAATTTTTTTTTTTAAAAAAAAAATACCCTTTTACTTTTACCTAATATTGCATAACTTTTTATTTTTGAAAAATATTTATTTGTTAAAAATGTTATGCTTCTTTGGTATTTGCTTCTTGCAAACTGGTTCGTTTGAATCACTTAATTGAAGATCAAGAGTACGGCTTTCCCAAAGGTTAAAGTGAGGGAAACAGATTAATTACCCATCCACTAATGCATCAATTACAAAAGAATAAAAATAAAAAAATGTTGCATATATTAAACGGGATAAATAAAAAGCACACCATGTAAGAGGTTTGAAGGATAAAACAACACATACTTCTGGGATAACCCAAAGTGAGAGTTTTGCATAAAGAAGATCAATAGAAACCCCATTGAACTTGAATTTCATTACTGGAACATGAGCATCAGGGACAGGGTGCAACTCTGATACTTCCGGCATCTCTGACAGCATTCTATGTAGCTCAATAAAGAAATCTTCCTGCATCCAATTTATAAAAGCACTAATGTCCATCAAGCAAAACCACTTAGACAAAGTAATATATATATATATTTACACCAGAGGGCTAGAGCTGATCGTACTTCTCGACTTGCATGCCTTGGTCCCACACAAAGCGTTTCCATACCCTCACCGGGGCCATGTACCTAGACATAAAATGAAGAAAATATATAATTAGCCCGAAAGTATAATTTAACTTAATTACAACAAAATTTGAAGCATTAGAATATGGTGCAAGCACAAGGTAACAAAATGCTTTGGAACAAATGATGCAGTCAGCTTTTTTGACTACTATCTTCTATCTCCCTCCCCACAAATTATTCCCAAAACAGTGAGACTGAGAGACCTAAAAGCATTATATAGAGTTCAAATATGGAAAGAATTATAACAGCATATTTGGAGCTTTGAAATGCAAAAGATTCAAGAACAAGATAACAAAATTAATGATTTTTTACCACTTCACCAAAAAAATTATTATTATTTTTTGTTGACCAAATGATGAGTAGTACAGGTGTTATAAATCCTTCAAGATTGATGAGTAAATTTAGACTCCATTTGGTACGAAAATCAGTTGAAAGAGAAGGTAGGAAGGATGGAAGAGGTATCCCCAAGGAAGGAAAACAGAACTTCCTTCCGTCTGGTTAAGTATAAGGGAAGGAAAGGAGGCAACACCTCCCAGTATTTGGTAGTAGGAGGGAAGGGAAGAGGAGGTTTTAAATGCTAATTACCACTATACCCCTCACTTTATAAAAAACACAAAAGCAAACATTATTTCAAAAGGACGTAAAAACAATGTTGGAAGGACATTTTGCTGCCAATACATGTCTTTTCACATACACAGTTATATAATATATAGAATTTGCTAATCAGCAACTAATATTCAATACCTCCTTATATCCAAATAATAATAACAATAAGAGAATGGTGTAAATTGGATCATTCAGATCATTAAAAATATTGACCTTACATTGAAATAGGTTACATGAAGAGAGATCCCTTCTCTGTTAACAATCTTCACCAACTTAATAAATCTGTCTATAAGCTTCAATTTTCTAATAATGGAACATCCACAAGATATCGGATTGCTTTCTAATTTAGAAAATCTAAGCTTGCATTCTAACCTTCTTGAGGGATCTATTCCATTCAGTAACACTTAAGTCAGTAGGACGTGGCTAATTTAAATCTAGAGTCTGTAAGTTTGGTTCTAGCTTTTATGTACATTTCAAACGTCAGGTAAGTAAGTTTGACTCTGTCCAAGGAAAAATCGGAAAATTCAAAGCTTCAACAAGTGCAAAAGGTTAATTTCACTCTCAATATTGTGCATTCACCAAATTTAAGTTCACTTTCATTTATTCATCCAATTAAACATGCTAGGGTTTTTTATTACACGTTTTGATCCATAAAAAAGTGTTTTAAAATGCATAAAATTGTTTTAAGAAATGTCTCTTTTTTTGAAATCCTAAAAGAACAAGGACTAGGAATTTTGATTGATGGAAGAAAGGAAACCCAATGGACTAAGTTCGATCAGTCGAACATTGTGAAACAACAGTTTCTAAATCTGGTTCAAACTCTTTTAAGCCTAATATAAAGAACATATGCTTTCAGAAAACCTATGCAAGCACAGACCAAGCATATATTAAGCAGTATATAGTTTTATTTTTGTGAGGCATATAGTTCATGCTATCAATCCAATTGCTAGAATTTTATTCCATTCCTCATTCATTTAAATGGTGAGCATTCATGTGTGTTGAGAATTATTGATCCTAGAGCTTCAAGGACTTTTTTACCACAAACAATTTTACAACAAACAAGAAATCGAATGCCGTGTCACTGGAAATCAAAGCACAGATTGAAGAGCAGATCACGTGAAGACAAGATTTGGCACCAGCTGAGATCGATGTCGTCTGGCATGACTCTAGGTCAAAGGTTACTAGGGGATTCTTGAGTAATATAGTTAACCTAATTGTAAAACCTAATGTCAAAATTTTAAATTATGTTTTACCATATGGTGACGTGGATTTAGAACCATAAAAGAAGGGCCACCTAGAATGCATGAAACACATTGATTAGAGATGAATATTAGGCATCACATGCTGCCCTTTGCGGATCGTTCTCTTGAACCCGAGTTTGTGATATCCTTCTCTATTTTAATTACAAATAGATGAAATCAACTATTGGAAAGAGTCTTTTCATAAGCAGCCTTCAAAAAGCTTTAGCTTATGTCTCATTTCTCTTTTCTCCATCATTCTATTTGACAAAGAAAGTTCCTAGGTGTTGAGCAAGCCCTACCCTTTGGTAAGCTTTAAGCATAATTAGGTAAAGCTTTAGTATCACCATCCTTTATATATATATATTTTTTCTGTGTTTAAAACACCTATGCACAATTTAGCATTAGTTTATTTTTTCCTCTAAGCAACTTTTAGAAAACCCGGTATTAAAATTACAACAACAAAAACCAACAATGATGCCGGTACAATTCTGGTTTGTTCAAATACCAATACCAACACTGCATGCCCTACAACCTCATAGAAATTTAAAGTTTCCATATACACACAGTCACCCACCTTAGTTGTAAACAATTAGTAACAGCAATTCTAGGATTGCACCTTTTTTTTTCGTTTTTTGGGGTGCACATAACCAAAAGAGAAGTAATTGTACAAAAAAGGAAACCTTTCTCCCCAACACAACAGACAAAATGGAAATATCAAACCTCATATCCCTAACTAATAAAGGAAAAGAAATGAAATGATAGTAATCATGTTTGGAGAAAGAAAGGAAAGGAAACTATTTTAATGAATTTACCACCATACCATTTTTCATAGATTTTGTCTTTTATACAAGTAAGGTCAACTTTGGTATTAACACAGTTTATTAGAAATACTAGCATTTCCTCCCATTTTTGGAAGGATAAAAAACCAACTCATCAAGCTTTACTGTGTCGCTCCAAATCCTGCCATTTCCCTTCCTTTTCCTTCCAAAATTTTATACCAAAAAAAAAAAAAAACCTCCATCTCCTTTCTTTTCTTTTCCTTCCATTTCTTTCCACCCAAACTGGACCTAAATAAGAATCAAAGGAGAAAACAGAAACAGAAAAAAAGTAAAAAAACAAACAGATAAAATTTCTCATACCCCAAGCCGATAAGAACCAAAGGTGAAAATCTTAGCATTAGCTTCTCGTACCAGCTGTTCATTTAATCCCTTGGCCTGGCTTATTTTTTTTACCCAAATCTTCACAATCTGTTCAATTTTGAAATACCCAAATCAGTATTAAACAATAAACATAGCAACCCAAAAAACACAATATATTACAAAAATCAAAACTGAGAGAACGAAGTCCACCTGGTCTAATCTCCCAAGCACTTCCTCCTGACTCTCAGACAATCCTACATCCTCTAGAAACTGAAAAAAAAAAACCCAAATTTTGAGTTTGATGCACTCTCAATTATGACTAATAACAGAAATGTTGCTTAGAAAGAAAATTAAAACCTTCTCAAGTTCTTGGTTCTTCATCATATCGAGCTCGGTAGGTCCGGCCAATGAAATTGGTTTTGTAATGCCTAGTTGCTGCCGCTGGTAGCTACCCATTTATACGTTTATTTTACAAAATTTTTTAAAATTACTGATAAAAATGCACACTTTCTTTTCCCTAGCTCTCAAGCAGAAAATTAGGAATATGCTGAAGTAAAAAAAAAAAAAAAAAATTGAAATTAGATCTGGTACAGTATTGCGAATAAATTGAAGGATAACTAAAAGAGAAAAATGTAAAACAAGACAACCCTAGAATTGATGATAATTGAAGTATCTATGAGCATAGAACTGACACATCATCACTTGAGATCTTTATAAAAAAAAAAAATTCTTTTATTTTTCAATTCTATGAGAAAACACTAACCCTATACATTGAACTAAAAGACGAACAAACAAAAGACCAAGGTCGCCAAGAACTGGATATTCAAAAGTCAAAACCCGCCGGCCTCTGGAGTTGTCGAACCAGCTGTTCTGCCGTAGTCATTGCTTCTTGTATTAATCAATTCATTCGCGCGTATTTCATGTAATTTTATATATACATCTATTTACCAATATACCCTCGTTATATAAATTTATAACAAATAAAATTCCTTTCCAAAAACTTTCAAACATCTTCACATATTTACCATTCTATTACCTGGAAGTCATGAATTGGATCTTTTAAGCACAACTTTGTCACTAATGACTTCAAAAAAATATAAAATAATAATGACTTCAAACTTTTAACATAGTTCTTATAATTTCAGTTATTATGAAGATGATATATATTTTTTATCTATCTTTTTTCTGATGCAAATAATGTAAGTATTACTGTATATCTAAAACATATACATGTGCAACGAGCTTCTCAAAAACAAAACCAGAAAAAAAAAAAATGAACTTTCAAAAAAAATCATATGGGCATTGCGCATTGTTTGTATGTGAAAATTTTAGTTGGATTTAACCATTGATTTTATAAATAATTAAATGTTAAAATTGATATTATATACTTATAAAATAATTTTTTTAAGACTCTAGTATTGTATTCAGAACTAGCTTGTTTGTTAAGTTTGGATATGGTCATACCACAGAACTAGGATCAAATAAAATACAAATCACTTTTTTCTTACAAAAATGTTTTTCTGGGAAAATATGATGGCTCTATAATAAGCCTCCTCAGCTTGCCAGAGATTTATCCTTAAATTTAGATTTGTGGATGTTCAGGCATAAATCCTCTTTAGTAACCCTGTCAATGGATCAAAATATGATGGCTCTACAAGGCTGGATATTGTAGGATTCACAGGTTCTTAGGGTTGCAAGTCTTTACATAGAGAATAGAAGAACCATTATTGGCTCTGCACCGCTGCTCACGAATTATCTTCCTCTGCAATCGCCTTCCCTTTCCTCCTTTGTCTCCCTCGGGACATCCTCATCCTTCACAAGCTCATAATCCCCCCTAATATCATCAACATTCTCTCAGACCGCGCCCTCTGAGCTAAAGCACGCAATTCTGTTCTTTCTTTTCTTTCTCCTTGATCATCATTTCCTTCTGAACTTTAGACCTCATCGCCACTGCCTCTCTAGCTTTCTGTTCTGCAAAGCCACAGACCAAAGATTGTTATATTCTACATAGATACAAAAGGCTAAAACAGCAACCAGACATGTCATTTAAATGACATTGAAACTACTGATCAACATTGGTTCTAGTATTTGGGCTAACCACATATGAACATATCCAATCAAATCTTTAGAAGAAATTAAGTGCTAAAATAGAAAGAAAACCATATGAACCACATATAAACATATCCAATCAAATCTTTAGTAGAAATTAAGTGCTAAAAGAGAAAGAAAACATTATGAACCAAAAAAAGAACGACCAAATCAGCATTGTAATTCAAGTTCTGAAGACAATTGGATCCTTAAATTAATCATAAGGTGCTAACGAATAAAATCATAGCAAGCAGCATCATATCTGATGAATGCATCCAAGTCTCCACCAACTAGTACATTATCAAAGAAGTCTTGTGTTACCTCCTATTTCTCCATTTTCCGGCATCACTCACGCCCTCTTTCAAATGCAACGCGAGTTCTACCAGATCCTTCATCCCCATCTCGCATGGATGACCCAGCACTTGCTTTCATAGTTCCTCCACTGCCAACTTTATCCATGGCGGCTTTTTGACTCTTCTCCACCGCTGTGAAGAACGGATCCAAACCAAAAGGATCAGGTTCTTGGGCTTCCTTGTCGAATTCAACAGGCCTATCTCTTGGACCACTCTTACCGGAGGTACCAACAAAACCCCTGTCAGGTTTAAAGCGTTCGGTTTTCATGATCTTGTCCAAATGCTCATCTGCAGTACCTCCATACATATCAGAATCGACATCCTTCTTAGGCCTGTACAGGGTAGGCTGAGCAGTGAACAACCCCTTATCATACACGTTGTACTGATCATCAGTGGCAAACCCAGACTCCATTCCCTTCTCCTGGTTAAACAACCTCTGGTCATACATAACTTGCCCTCCTCCTCCTCTTCCTGCTCCGGTAGAAGCCATCCCAAGAGCAATCTTCTCACTCACATCGCGGTCTCCATCTCTAGTGATCTTACTCTTCTTTCCCATTGCTGCATCCTTGGCCTCCTGCCTTCTTTCTCGACGCCGCTCCTCGCGAATTTTCTCCCTCTGCAATCGCTCATAATCCCCCCTTACATCATCAACATCCATCATAGTTTTGTCAGAAGAACTCGGAACTGCACCTGGGGGTGGTGCCACCGCCACACCTGCTCTCTCAGACCGCGCTCTCTGAGCTAAATCACGCAATTCGTGTTCTTTCTTTTCTTTCTCCTTCATCATCATTTCCTTCTGAACTCTAGACCTCATCGCCACCGCCTCTCTAGCTTTCTGTTCTGAAACATACAGCGCTTCTGAAAGCTTGGCAAAATTATCATTAATCTGAACCTCCTCAAGTCCCCTACCATCTCCTGCAAGCCGCTTATCAAGTGGAATAGAATACCCTTTCGGGTTTTTCCAGTTCGAAATACATGGTGGGATCTTCCAATCCTGCTGGTCCTTCAAAGTCACGGGACGAGGTGGAGACTGCATGACTGGCACGGGTGGAGAACCAGACCCCTTTGGAACCCTCTTGTGTTTGAATTTTGGCGGGTCTAAGGGATCCACAACCATCTCGGCCATCCTTACAATCCTCTCCTTCGCACCAGAACTAAAATCTGCAGATTGTTGCGATGGTTTGTATTTGATGAATTTGGAATCAGAAGACTGTGTTGGTGTGTTAACATTCAAAATTTTCTCAAGGGCGGCTTTGGTCTCCTGGGTTGTCTCCTCAATCTTTTTCTCCAACTCATCCAGATCCTCTTCAGGCTCTTCCTCTTTCTCGTTTTTCAAAATCATCGGCACAAGGTCTCTGTGCTGTGAATAAACTACTTTAGAAGCATTCTCGTTTTGCTTCACAATTGCATCATATCTCACGTTACCATGCTCGTCAACGGTGACGGGCAGCACCGTCTTCCGAACATTCTTCCTGCCCATGTCAAGAGGGTACTGGGCATGGTTAATTTCCGGAAACGCCCCTCCATCTCCAAAATCTTCAGGCTTCGATGGCCAAAAGCCGCTCTTCAGGTATGGTGGTACCGGTTTTGATTTGATTAGAGCAGATTGTTCGGCCTCGGCAGCGCTGTACCCCTGCTTGAACCACATCTCATTGGAGTGGTCGTAATTCCAAGTCCCAGATGATGATGTTACTGGTGGGAGAAGCTCCTTCAAAGTTGTCATCGGAAACCCTAACTCTAGATGAAGATACAAAACCCAATAAGTAGAATACAATTCACACAATTAATTATATAATCGTGTGTGTTTATATATATATATATATATATATATAGTGTATATACACAGAATAGAAAGAGGGAGAGAACTATTTACCTGATTGATCGCTAACCATGCCGAATGCTTTATTTATAAGAGACTTGGGAGTAGAATTGGAATCCGAATCGAAATTGGAATTGGAATCGAAAAAGGATTCGTAGGGTAGGAGGGCACTTATTTGGTAAGTTATAAGTACTTAGTCAATATATTTTCCTTTTTTTTTTTTTTCTAATATATTTTCCTTGAAATTTCTTCAAATTTTATTTTGTTTTAAAATTCATATAAAATTTAATTTTCTTAAAATATGAGATTCTAGAAACAGTGTTAATAGTTTAATCTAAAATTGTGTGACTTAAATTTAAACACGATTTATATATTATTGTCAAAATATATCAAGTCGATGGGTCTTTCTGGCTCTAAATTGCCTAATGGATTTGGCCCAAAAGTAATGTGGGATAGACGAGTCCTAATGGATCATGCTCACTGATTTTGCTTTCTGAAAGACGCATGAAAATTAAGATTGTTACTGATATATGTGGATTCACGTCTTTAAATTGAAATTAAATTATTATTATTATTATTTTTAATTTAATGTCCTCAAACGCAACATAAACCTCTTTCAAGTTAATTGCAAATATTAATGTGTTATAAAAATTTAAAAAAGAAGAAGAAATATTAATATAGTTTTAAAATAAAAACAAATATTATTATAATTCACTTTGAATAATTTTTAAAGCAATGCATGGATGATTCGGAGAATTGAGTATAGTTATTTAAGAAATTCTTGAGTTATGACATTTATAATGCTTTTGAACAGGATATGTAGATGTGAGTCGATTCTAGTGTTGGAAAACTAATGCAGAACCACACCAAAAGAATATTCAATTAAGAGTTTTCATATATTTTACAATTTTATTTCAAATTTTGTCTTCAAACTGATTTGATTTTGTATATATAACCATATAGTGAAGGGAGATAGGAGACTGATATTGAATTCAGAACTAGCTTGAAGAGGCAAAATCTTCAGGGTTAGACGGCCAAAAGCGGTTTGGATTTGATCACAGCAGATTTGTTCAGCCTCAACAGCACTGGTGGAAGACGGTCCTTCAAAGATGCCATCAGTAACGCCGACGAGCTGCTATTGAAAGAAACAAGAAAGTGGCGTCGGGTGCGACTTGCGAGACCTTTATTTATATACAAAAGCCCGATAGGAGTACGTTTGGTTGCGCATGGTTCTTTTTCAACACGGAGATTTGATTACCCCTAAAATGGATTTGGAGCAAAAGTGATCCGGGATAAATGAAACGGAGTTTAAACTATTGAATAATATTAAATTCCAACCATTTTTACCCATTTCAGTCTTCCCCAAAAAAACTGGCAACAAGGGCGAGCTCGAGCCATCTTGCCAAACCAAGGTAACATACCCAAACACCCGTACCCAGCGCTCAACTAGCTCCAACTCTTATGTAACGTATTGAATAATTGCCCTCTAACTCAAAGCTTAAGCTATTGAGTAATGTTATATACTCACCCATTTATAACCATTTCACTTCCATTCGGATGAAATGTTGGACACACTAACAATTATCCTCCTGCTCCTGGGTAGGTTGAGATATTAAAGCTGGAAGAGGCAAATCAACTCATGAAATATATAGAATTTAGGATTAACTTTGTTCATGACCAAACAAATGAAAATTACTGTATGTAATTTCCAATGCTTTTCCTTGAATGGAGAATATGACCCCCATATATCATAAAGTACTATACGAACAGAGACCTTCCAATCCCCCATTAATTTGGATAATTCTTTTCGTCCAAACTGTAGCCAAGGAAAATTACATCCTACCAGAATTATTTATATCACCACAACTAGAATGAGGTACAAACTACAATAACGTTCATATTCATTCTTGGCCTACGCAGGGCCATCATATAATAAGGCAATCACCATTTATGCGTTGTGCCCGTCCTCCTCTCTGAGCAATTGTACGAGTCAAATAACATGATCAGGGGTTTCAAGGATGGGCCGTCAACATATACCCATCAACATTGCAGGAAATAACACAAAGTTGAAAGACTAGTTTCAGAAGGCAAGCCAACATAAAAAGAGATCCGGAAAAAACACGAGTGATTCATCATATAAGGAAGCACCGATCCTAATTGATCTGTAATACTACCTAATTTAACTGCAGCTAACTGATCCTCAAAGAAGTCCTGGTGTTTACAAGTAATCCTCCTAGCAGCTGCTCAAGTCCACCAATCTGACTCAATCAGATCTCACCTGTAAATCAAAACCATAATTAAAACAATAGAAGCAAGATAAAATGTAAAGATCAGATTAAAAATAATAAAAATAGAATGCCACAATCAGATTAAAGAAAACAAAGAGAATGGAGATGTACAGGTGAACGAGACTGAGATATGCTCCTGCTAGCACTGCTCCCTGGACTTTCACTCAACCTTCTGCGGCGATGATGCTGTAAAACACCAGGTTGAAAAGCATAAGATGATGTAAACTTGTAAAGCTCACAATGAACATTTGAATCTAGTTTTATATCCCCCTCCCAATTAGTTTTTATGTACACAACTAAAAACTTAATAAATTTCACTTACTGATGCGACTGGAGATCTGGATCTTGATCGTGATCTGCAAAAAGTTACAAAAGCAACCCAATTCAATATATATACCCATAATTTGCCTTTAAGACTTTTGATCCAAACAGTACCAATGTCACTTCTTGGAGTTACCACGACCCAAAGGAAACAACAACAACTACCAAATTTTAGTAACACTCGACAGAGAAGGCAATAGGCCAAACCCAATAAATAATTTCTGCCTCACCAATACGAAAACCAGTTTAACAAGCCAGGTCATGCGGAACTTAAGATGGGTTTGGATCAAGGGTAAGAGAAGGGACCAGAATCGAAGCACTGTATGATTAATATAGGGAAAAGCAAGAAAATACTTCCTATCAGTATCGTCACAACCCACATTGAGAATCCTGAGTTCAAGCTCTACTAGACAAATGCAATTCAAGTGGCTTTGGAATATTTATACTCCTGATTTGTGGTTGATGTATCGATAGTACTTAGTTTGCGATGATCCAGCTTTAAACACCACACAGCAGTACTCAACTATAGCACCCATAGACGTGCACCATGCATAACATGTTAGAATTAATATACCATTAAGGTTCTGCCAGAGGTGCTCGTTGGCAAAACAGCATAACTTCACAACTGAATGAGTTGCAATCCCATCAAGTCCCTACCATGCAATCCTCGGATCCCCGCGGAAAGCCAGATCTAGAAAAACAAACAAGGTAACCTTCATACTCAATTAACCCCATCCACCTCCAAAAAAATAAAAAGGAATGGTGCACAACAAAAACCACAAGGGAGGAACCATGAACAAATGGGATATTGTGTGCTGAGATTACTTTGTCCAAATATTCTCTATCAATGCGACACATTGTACACACCAGAAACAAGTTATTTCCAAATCCATCAAATCAGGACACAAGGGTGCCTTTTGACATCAAATGGAAATGAAATAAGTTCTTAAAAATTTCAAAGGCTTAATTATGAAAAGAAATCTATGTATTGATTAGTGTGTCTCATAAAATACCTAAAATGACCCACGGACAGGATATCAACGAAGAAGAACATTTCACCAAAAAATCCAATGGAATTAAACTATCTATCAAAGCAGTCATAGTTTCAAAATATATACCAACTCGCTTCACAGAGTGATTTAAATAAAAATAAAATCATCTTAGCACTAGCGCTATCTCCACCTTCCAAATGGAAGGTTGATGGTCCCTGTTCCCAATGGAACAATATTGGGTGGCTTAACTATTAAATAAATAAATATATATATATATATATATATATATATATAGAGAGAGAGAGAGAGAGAGAGAGAGACCAAATAATCACTATCCACATTGGCGGAGCAATAACAACGACAATTACGGAACCCTCAGAAACTTTAGACTTTAATGTAACCATTCTTTTTTTATTTCTCATCCAAAACAAAGATATTTTAATAGATAAACTTGAAATCTAAAAGATAGTTTACTAGGAAAGCTTGAAATCTAACACAGATTTTCAATTAAGAATCCACTAAATAACAGAATATTTAATCGAATTTGTATTACCCGCATATGAACGTCTTCTTATCAAAAGGATGTGGATCTAGAAATAGGTAACTAGACACGAAGAATCCATACAACTGACCCCAGGTATAGAAAATTAGGTCTTGTTTAGTATTTTATATTTCCAAATTATTATCAATGTTTAAAAATTTAGTAACCACATAAAAAGTTAGAAATGTTATTTCTAATTTTTATTTTAGTAACCATATAAAACCTCATTAACAATCTAATGTTGAGTTACACACTTGCACTCAAAAATGCTCTCTTCTATTGAGGTAAAAACACCAATGAAAAAATTGCTTTCAAATGCTACGCAAAAACTAAATTAAAAGGCTAAGTTTTACCCCCATTCAAAACCAAAATTGCCTCCCCCCACCCCCCAAAAAAATATTAATAATAAAAGAGGCAACAGGGAAGAAGGATACTGACATGGAAATAACAGGTTAATAAGATTTAACATTTAAATCTTGGACTTCACACATAATAGTCAATCGTAAATGGCAAATTGACAACCACGCGTGCATTACAGGGAGCAGAAAGGGACCAAGATCCACATTATTCAAATGTCATAACTTGAAGTCACAAATGATTCAAGTTTCAGGCCAATATTTACAATGCCTATAGGCTATAGCAGCTTAAAACAGTTTCTCACAAGCATACAATATGCCATTTTAAATTGACAGAAAAGTCGAGATCTTAAAAATGAATAACCTTTTTATATTAATAAAAAAAAGATTCATATTTTCTTTAATGCGTGATTGTACTCCATACAAATCAAAGTTGACTACTGGTATAGAGAGAAATCAGTAAAGTCCGTAAATGAAAAGTTGCTAACGGGGGGAGCTATCTAACTACACCCATTTTACTTTGAAAATAATTGATCAACACAAAATTTGACTCACTGTGGATTAAATGATTAGTTCACATCTTATAGTTGGCCAACAAAACTTCCCCACAAGTAGGAAGCCTTTCAAACAAGAGCAACTTGTGCACGCGTACACACACCACCAAAACATTTCTAACTGTTGCCCATAAGAAGAAAAAAATGATCCAAGAAACATTACAATGCTCCAAATAAATGCCAAGAAACCATACCTCGAAACAGAACGAGACGACACAGAATAAGGCCTTGAAGAAACAGATCTCAAACGAGATCTGGATGGAGAACGACGATAATATCTGGCCCTTGGAGAATAGCTGCAAAACTCGCTCTTGGTTAATTTGCACCAATAAATAGACCACAAGACAAGTTTATTTTGCTAACATAATTAAAGCAGACCTTCTGCTCCTCCTATCATAGCTATAGCTGCCACTGGGGCTTCTGCTTCTTGAAATATATGGACTGCGACTTCTTGATAAGCTACGCCTTGAATCATACTCCATTACCTATAGCCAGTAAATAAATGTGGAAAAGCAATGAAAATATAAGCACAGTTGCACAAACCTTTCCCAAATATATATATATATATATATATATATATATTTAAGCACGTATATCAGAATTCGCCACATCCACCATCACATACCCGTACGTAAGCCCGCTCAAATTGATTACGGAACAAAGTGTCGTCAAGTTTCCTTATCTGCAAGAGAGAGATGAACAAGAAGAAGGACGTGATTTTTTTTTTTTTTTTCTTTCTTTTTTACCACATCAAACTATGGCACTTGCTACTGAATCGAAAAGTGATTATAACCAAAGCCCACTAATTAAAGGGGAAAAAACAATAAAGATGATACAATAACAGCTCAAGAATTTCAGTTAGAATAGATTAACTTACTGCATAGTTCATGTCGCTATAGTTTGTATAGTCTACAATTCCTCTCATTCCTGCAAATAAAAATCATTATAAAAATTGGTAAAAGATCTGTAAAAAAGGTGAAAAAATAAAAATAAAAAATAAAAAAACATCATCCAAGCTGAAGAGACAATTTCTTTGCATCAAAATGCATGGATTCTCAACATCTATTACATAAATCCAGCTCATCATGAGCACTATAATATTCAAATAATCACACAGAAGACAGAAAACACACAAGATGAAAAAAGGCAGATTTTCAGATAAAAAATAAATTACTTGAGCTACAAATTCAACAGTGTTAATAGATGATATATACAATAAACTCAACAGAACCATTAAATGAATACGTATTAATGCCTGTAAAATGTTTCAAGCGAAACGTCATTTCAAAGTGAATTCTCCCTAAATATATCCACTCAATTAAATTCTGGATCTCATCAGAAAATATTGATTGTGCTAGAGATTCAAAATCCATTTTCATCTCTTTTCAGAATAAATAAATAGATCTAATGGATTTAAAACTTAACTTTCAATAAATCCCTTGTGGACTGCTTCTCTAGAGCCCAATGTCTCTTTTTCCTAAGATCTTATTAACTGATTTTTCCCGGTAATGTATCTTATTTCATTGTTATTCAAAAGTTACTTAAGGAAACCATCAATCCTAATCTGAACAAAAGAAAATTTTAGAAAGAAAACCAAGAAAATATTAAGCAGAAAATGAGTATTACATGTTTTTCTGCATAATCGTATTTTAAGATTAAGGTTTCCTATATCCTTTGTACTTGAGTTCATGTAATTTATTTATCAAAACCCAAAGTTCAGTATTACACATACTGGAACATATAATGACATATATACATTTGATTTCAAAAGCATTATACTTCTACTCATCCAATATACATATATATATTCACAAAACCAATAAAAAGCACAGTAGACAATTTTCATCAAAAAGTGAATCTCGGGAAAACTAAATTAAAATTTTTATTTGATGAAAAAAGCCATCTTCTTCCAAAGTCATCAACCTAAGTCTAAGGGTTGACACACATCCCTTTAAGCATGTAATTGACCTTACTATATATAAGCAAACACCAAACCACTGTTGCCTCCATAACCCATTTCATCTAAACATGAGAAAATAACCATACGATATATGTGTATTAATTTATCACAAGACTAATACATACAAGTTCCAGTCCATCTTTGTGGCAAGACTTCTCCCTCTATTGACCATGATCTTATTACAAAATTTTCCAAACACAAGCTCCTAACTCAGAGCCCAATAATTTTGTCAAATGACGAAGATTCTTAATTGTTGTAGTTAAAAGAAGTATGACAACAAAGTAAATTTCAACTTACCATCACGATCCCGGAAAACTTGAGAAAAAGAGACATCCCCAGCTCGTCGCATGTGATCCTAGTGATTGACAGCACATTATAAGTACTCATCGTATAAGGAAATACAAGTTCTAAAAGATGGAACTCAGAACACATACACAACACACGCCATTGTGATAAAGAAGAATCATGCTCACCTTCAGGTCTTGCCATGAAGCAGAAGAAGGCAATCCAGTTACCAAAACTGCAGTTCAAAGAATTAGAATATTAAAAAGAATTTTTGACAGCATGCAAGAAGGTAAGAAAGTATAAAGAGTAATGCATAAAGTAAACAGTACACACCACGATAGTCAGAGCACCTAGAAACGCCGCCACGACCACCACCACTGCTGTAAGTGCTATAGCGATCCACTGATGACGATCCTCGGCCACCATGTGCAAGTTCAACCTACATATGCACCGAAAAAAATGGGAAAAGGGAAAATGAATAAAGTGAAAAAAAAAAAAAAAAAAAAGAAAAAAAAAAAATTTGAAGCTACATTGGTAAAAATGGAAGTCATTAGTAAAAGGAAATTAAGATAGGTGACTAACTCGTAATCGGTATCCATCAAAATTGTAGCCATCCCTCCCATGAATGGCATCTTCAGCATCATGTGGATCTTCAAACTGGAATACATACAAGTTCCAACAAAATTTTAAGACAACATGAAAAATGGAAAAGAGCAATGAGGAGAAAATATTGAACCACTATCTGAGCTCATATCTGTACAACCACTAACTATTAAAAAAACTGAGTCTATGACAGATGAATCAATAATATCTCAAATATCCTTGAATAATACTAATTAAAATTTAAAATTCAAACTCACCTCTACAAAGGCATAACCAGGAGGCCGGGGAGGGATTTTCAGATCAATATCAATGATAGGCCCATACTGCAGCAAGATTGCCAACCAAATGAGATTATTAAGGAATTAACAATAAGGTCAACCAATCCATACTAAACCAAACATCAACTCTCATAAGCAATAATATTCCTGCTCTGAGTAACCCATTGTACATAATGGTTCAAGTATGCAATAACCACACAGTGTAGAGGAAATGTGCCTGCTGCTAACACGGATGTCTCATGAAACTTACTTAACCAAAATGGGGAATAAAACTCTTGTCCTAGCACCAAATGCTTATCTAAACCCACATGGAAATAAGAAGGGAATAAGTAGTAGTAATAAGCAATACCATCCAAATTTATGTTAATTTATGTTTATATATATATATATATATATATTAATAATGTGGTTCGTCATCTCTAATGATATTAAAAATAAATAAAAAAATACTTAATATTGGAATGTTGTGAAATTTGTGTCTATTTTCAAGCATCGTAATTTTTTAAATGTAGAGATTGATGGAACCCATAGTTATTAAAGGCCCAAGGCGCACCAAGGCGCTAGAGGTCCTTTGGAGCCTAGGCGCGAGGCGCACGGTGAGGCGCGCACCTGAGTGAAGTGAGGCGCACAATTGAAAATTTAAACTACCATAATAACATTCATATCTCATAAGTCATATCAATATTCTAAAAATTAATATCAAATATAAAAAAGTAAATTCATCAACAATACAAGCATCCAACAACAATAGAACAGAGAACAAATTTGTTTTCTTGAAAGGCAAAGCAAAATGCGATTTTTGAATGGCAAAACAAAGCACAAAAAGAAATAAATATGTTAACATAAAATATATATATATATATATATATATATATATATATATATATATATATATTGTTAACAAGAAAAAACAGAGCAAAAAAAAAAAGACAGAGAGATGAGAGAACTAGACAAAGAGAGAGATGTAAACAAAGATAAAAAGAGAGGAGAGATCTAGAGGAGGAGAAGAGGAAAAAAAAAAAAAAAAACAGAAAGAACTGACGTGGTTTCGTCGTTCATTTCTGCAACTAGGGCTTTGTCTTCGTCTCACAATCTCATTCTATCGTTGTTCGGTTAACACTTTGACACTTGGGCTTTCTTATTTTTTTATTCTTTTAAATAAAAGTTTCTTATATCATATGATTGAGCTTTCTTTTTTGTTTATTAAGTTGCCAAAAGTACCCTTTTTGGCTTAAGAAATAGAACAATTGTATTTTTTTAAATAAATATCAGTAAGGCGCGCCTAGGCTCACCTCATAAACAGGACGAGGCACAACTGAGGTGCGCGCCTTGTAAACATCAGTGAGCCTGGGATGACAAAAGGCGCTAAACCTGAGCCTCTCACACCTAGGCACGCCTTTAACAGCACTGATGGAACCTTCAGTGTGTTACCAACTTTCAACGTCTCTGATTTACACATGGTATTGCAAAATAAATAAATAAATCGAATCTACACCCATGTTGAAATACAATTTAGCATTCAGGTCAACAGCACTGCAAAACATATTTGACTTCTACATAAGCATTTGTGATATACTATTAAAAACACATTGAATACATCCAAAGCTGTGATATGTTCATTTTCAACAGTATAGAACAAAATAAATACTAAAATAACCTTGTAAAACAGATCATCTACTTCGCTCTCGCGGATATCACCAGGAAGATTGCCAACATAGATGGTTCGGCTAGAGCGTCTACTCATCCTTCCTGAAACCAATAAAAAATAAATAAGAGTAAATAAATAAGTTGTGCATAAAAAAAATAAGTGACACTTAAGATGTACCAATATCCCCTTGATATAACATATAAAATAATCATGCAGACTAAAAAATGAAGAAGAATAGAATCAAATATTAATCAAATTTAAGTTAAAAAATATTTGACTGCCAAAACAACAACAACAATGAAAGATGACAAAAATAAATGAATAAAATTAAACTAAACAATATATTTCATTATAAACCCCATGTTAGCTGAACTAAAACAGTGTAATGTATCGGGATGAGCAAAATTTGATTCCCATGGTCAAATTAGGACACAGATGACAGATCATAATCAAAATCAAAATCAAAATCAAAATCAAAATCTCTGTCGTTTGCAATTTTTCTCGCACATACATCTATCAAAAGGCAGAGTTTTTCTTGTTAAGCATGTAAAACCCTAAAAGATATAGAAGATGAAATCAATAAATTATGTGCGATAAATCGACTAGATGAATTAAAGCCAAAGGCAGAGTTTTTCTTGTTACGCATGTAAAACCCTAAAAGAGATACACATGAAATCGAAAAAATTACCACGAAATCGAAGAAATTATGTTTGATAAATGGATAAGATGAATTAAAGTCATGAAATTTGAGATAAAATCAATGGAAAAATTAGTTGTTTCAACACATTAATATCTAGGATTTACTTAATAAAGTAACTGACTTACCTTTCTAGAGAGAGAGAGAATTCAAGGAAGCTACTAATCGAGAGAAAATCCAGAGTCCGTGATCGTGTTCTCTTTTGGTTTCTGAGCCCCCAAGATATATTATTTATAGAGATGGAAGGATAGGATAGGATAGTATACATCACATGCGCACGGTTTTATTTTGCACCTTGATCGTAAGGTGATAGATCTATCAATATGATTGTCCAACTTATCAATTTACTCCCAAATCCATAATGTGAAATATCAAATTTGATTCTATTATTTAATATTAAATTAAAAATTATAATTTTTTTTAAAAAAATTACAAAAATACTCATATCTTCTTTCCAATCACTTTGAAAGTCAATTTTGATTTAATAACTTTTAATTCATATTTTTTAAGTACTTTTAGGTATTTTTGTAATTTTAAAATAATAATAATGGTTTTTGACATTTCAATCAATGATTTAGGACTAACATGATAAGTTTTGTTAATTCAATAATTTTTTTTAAAAAATTTACTAAGGTTTTATGACCGATTTTAAAAATAGAGAAAAGTTTTGTGATTTTAACCTTTTATTTTAGGAGAAATTAAATTTTAGTGACAAAATCTAAAGAAAAATATTTTTAAATGACTTAGAGTTGATAATGACAAACAGTCACTAAATTTTAAACTTAAATGTTAAAAAGTGATTATTTGATGATTTATTGCTTAATTGTTTTTCTTGTAAGTATTTATTTATTTTATAATAGGACAAATTTATCTTGTGCATTGACTCAATTAAACAATTGTTTCAAGTTGTCTACCAACCCATTTGAAAAGTAAAAAATAAAAAATATATATATATTTTTATTTTAAATGTAGATAAGTACACATTTAATATTTGTTCCATAAATGTTCTCCACCAAATGCTAAACTTTTTATATATATATACACATTCATTTCTCCATTTAAATTCGATGCGAGACAAATATTTTTTTTTTTTTAAACTATATTATACCGTTTCTAATTATTTCTTTACTAACTTTTTTTATTTTTTATCATAAACGATAAAGACGTATTTATCCTTTTTTTGTCCATTTTCCAATTCACATGAAATCCAAATTAGCATATTTTGATAAAAAAAAAAAAAAAAAAAAAAAAAGGTGTAACACATTCCACTAATATAAGTGTTCGATGACATCATTGCATTTAATTAATTTGTGCATCGTTCAATAAACAATGGACAAATTATATCACCTTATTATCAATATTAAAGTGATTTTACTATTAAAAAATAAGTAATTTTTATAAAATTATACGAGTTCAAATTTTTTTTTATTTATAAAAAGAGCATATAAAATTTTGACTGAATTAATGTACGAAATTTTAACTATATAATTTTAAAAAAATAAAAAGCATATAAAACTTTTACTGAAATACGGGACGAAATTTTAACTCCATAATTTTCATACAATTCTTTTTTCATATTCAAAAATAAAAATAAAAATAAAAACTTTTGAAAAATGTCATACCTGATCCTAGCATTAGTCAATCTAAAATTCAAATAAAATATAGACCAAAATGTTTGAAGAGAGAGGTCAGCAGATTTTTGCTGCGAAAAACACGCGCACCAGCCTTTTCTCACAAGTCCGCAGGTTGTCTTTCTCTTCTACGCCGCCCAAATCTCATATATATATATATATATATATATATATATATATGCCTCACCCTCATTATATGCACCATTGTTTACTGTGACTCCTCTCTCTCTCTTAGATTCTCTCTCTTCAGAAACCAAAGATGGCGGAATCTAAGGCTGAGACCTCTGTTGATTCTATTAGGAAATGGGTCGTCGACCACAAGCTTCGAACTGTTGGTAATTTTCCTTTTATCTTTTCTTAATTTGTTAAAAAGTTAAATAATCATATATGGAGATGTATGTGAATGTTTGTTTTTGTTGATGTGGGTTTGATTTGATTTGTGAAAAGGGTGTTTGTGGCTAAGCGGTATAACGGGATCAATCGCTTACAATTGGTCTAGACCCGCCATGAAAACCAGTGTCAAGCTCATTCACGCCAGGTACGCTTCTCAGTTTGTTATTGACAACATTAATATGGTTGATTTGTTTGGTGTTTATTGAGATTTGAGGGTCTTTATGTGGATGTTTATTTTCTGCTTTGCTTTGATTGATCAAAGGTTTTGGTTATGGATTAATGAGACTGTAATTAGATTTGGCTAATTTGTTAGTTAATTGCAAGTGCTATCACACTTGTTAAGGGAGGCATATGAGGAAATTCTAAACTCTAATTAATTTGTGTTAGACTTTAATCATTGATCCCTAGATCTTAGCACTTCAATTAATTTCACATCCTTATAATGCATAAAAATACATAGTTAGATATACATAATTGATGGAGTATATGCACTTTTATAAAGGCAGAGAGAGGACCAGTTTTTCTTATTAATAACTTAATTCCACTTTCCATTAAAGTAGGGAACAATAAAGGAAAACACTTCTCCAATAAGTAATTACCTAAAAGGTAATTATAAGTTGACCAAGAATAAATAATATTAATTAATATCTATTTACTTAGCCATCAAGTAATATGTCACATGTCCAATCATGTGGGCCACAATTAAATAAATAATCTTACAAAAATGGGAAAGGTTTTGTTTGAAATGTCTCATACCCAATTTTTTTTTTTTTTGGATGATGCTGGTGTCGGGTCTCTCAGAGCACCCTATAATCCACCACCGGTTAAATGCAGTTCTTCCGTCCCACATGCACCGGCCAATTACCCGAAAAATTCCCTGAGAGTGGTCCTAAGTAAATGTCTCATACTTCCAATGCATTTCTTTTCAATGGGTTGAATTTTTAATGGAAAATGGATTTCAAAAGGATTGACAAGCTAGAATTTCACAACCGAATTATTAATGGAAAAGGGAATTCAAAAGGATTAATAGGAATTTCACTACACTTGTTGAATTCGGCTAATGATCTGTTTTGGATTTTGACTCAAGCAGATTCATATGTTACTATTTCAGAACATTAATGTATGTAAGTTTGTTAAATACCAATAAAATTATCAAATAATGAAATAAAATAATACAAGAAGACTAAAATTCCAGGATATTCTGATGGACTACTATATTGTTTCCCGTTAATGGTAAAAGTAGAAAGTACCCCAACTATATTCATAACATCTAATCCTCCTCCTCAAGCTGGAAAGTAGTTATTGCTCATTTCTAGCTTAATATAAATTTCATGATATTTACTTTATCTCTAACCCAAAACATTTGAAATAGTGTTCATCAAAATGTACTACGGAATTCAATTCCAAGTTAATTATTGATTAATATTATGAGAGAACAGTCATGGCGCCAACAATTCGAAACCTGACTCTTGAAGAAGATTAGAGAGGTAATCTCTCATATGAAAATTCGTAATCAATGCATATATTTAACTATGTTTGAAACACTAATCTATTATGTCATATATGATGGAAATCCATGGCTGGTAAAGAATCGTTTGAAAAGCTGGGAATAGCTAGGGTGTGAACTTGAAATATGAGGGAACACAACACCCCACTTACACGCGCAAATACACACGAGAGAGAGAGAGAGAGAGAAAGAGAGAGAGTTGTGCAATCACAAAAGCGAATTTCTCAGCTTGCAGTGGCTGACAACAGCATCATAGTACAAAATTCTATAATGTGTTAGTTGTTAGCAGGCCTTGTTTTGTTGTCTGTAATAAGCTATACTCTTTTTTTTTTTTTTTGGATTTAACTTTTTGAATGTATTTATTGTGTTTAACTCTTACAAACCATTTCAAGTGTAAATGGATGTCTTCTTTTTTCTAGGCAAGTTAAACTTTCGGCAGTTCAATTCCCAGTATATATTGTTTTTTAGGATTTGAAATGCTTGGATCATTTGCTTTGTGATTGGAAGGGTATTGGAGGATGTTCTGTGATAATTTGTCCAAATAATGGGTTTAATGGTGTCGTTGCAAATTTATTTTTATTATTTTTAAAAAAATATGACAATATAATCATACTTGGAAGTTAGAAAACTATTTTCCCTTGAATAGTTGTCAAAAGGACTGTCAACCTTATTTTGAAGAAAAAAGTGCAAAAGCTTTAGATTATTACTGCATATGACAAGTGCTTTCTTTGTTATAATAATATCTTATTATTTTTTTCTTAGTTGATAGCCTACATTGAGACTTGAACCCTTGACCTCCCTTTGGTATGCCGGGAAATATTGCTAACTTTTTTCACCCCTTCTGGTTTTAATTTCAGGTTGCATGCACAGGCTCTTACACTGGCTGCATTAGCGGGAGCTGCTGTGGTCGAGTATTGTGACCAAAAAGGGGGAACCAAGGCAGATAGATATCCAAAGTTCCTCCCTGCGGGAAAAAATTGAGTGAATCCTTCCAGTTCAACATGCATCTGTTGAACTTTTTTTTGCTCGACTTTCCTGAACAGTGGGCAGTACATATCTTTGTGTTAACAAACAATATTATGTCATTAATATTTATTCCTGACTTCTATTTGTTCCATTTAACATGTTACGATTACATTATATGATTCCGAGGTCTTACAAGTAGTCGGATAAAGGGAAGTTTTGTATTTGCTATTTATATAAATAACAGGCTGATCTTTTGAGCATTTGTGTGTTACATACGACTTCTTTCACTAAGTTCTTGGTCTCTCTCCAGGTTGTATGGCATTAGGTGTTGGAAATGTCATTCACATCCCTCGTGTTTGTTTCTGTCAGGACCTTTCTGAAAGGTCCGAAGGCAGCTGCTATACTAATGAGCCTAACTCTGGTTTTTAGTAACATAACATAAAGAGTGACCTTCTCAGTAGTGGTAGATATTTGTCTTTGTGCCATTTGATAATCTGATGTCTCGGGTGAAATCATTCGATGGACTCATTCTGCGCAGTTTGATAAGCTATATGGTTTCTGCTATGCTAAATGTTGGCTTAGCGACGAAATTACAATAGGAACCAGAGTCATGCATTTTGTTAATGTGGCTGGGAGTTGTTAGAACACGGGCTCACTCTCTCAATCCGACATAGTTAGGTTTGATGTTTGTCTGCACTGTGGCTTGATTTTGCTCTCCAAATGATTGTGCAGAGTAGCTAGCTATATTCAGAATATGGAGCTGCTTGGGGCTAGCAATTCTTGATGTTGGTAGTGCGCTGTGTGGCCTGTGTGTGTAGTGTTATAGAGCAGAGCAATTACTTGTGTAGTATTTGATCTGAGACTCTTATCGCTATCAATTAATGCCTAAATTGACCCAAGAACATAATAATCTACACAAGTATCATCTTTCCTACCTAATACTCAGACTATAAACCTTATATGGTGGATGAATTGTTCGGACTATAAGATTTTGAATACATTGTTTTAGAATTCTCTCAACATTTTACAATTATTTTAGAACCCAACTTTATTTAGTTACGCGGTTAGGGCTACAAATAAATTGAGTTATTCATGAATGAACTAAATGATGGATTTAGCTCGTGTACACTCGTGATTATAAATTTGTATATTTTTGTAAACATAGGCTCGTATAGGACATAAATATAAGCTTATATCTATTCAAACTCGTTGAGTTGTCCATCAACATATATACTTACGTAGGTTCGTTATGTTAATAAATAAACCAAATAATCTTGAATATGAGTTCAAATTGAGTCCGATTGTGTTTGCAGGTGAATGAGCCAAGGCCGAATAAACTCAAGCTCAGTTCATTTGCTGCACTACACAAAACTTGCCTGTGTGGCCAAACCTCATATCAAATTTACATGACTCATTTGACATCATCATTAAATTGAGGAAGTGGACATTATGAATATTGAAGTAATTGTGTATCAATTTTCACAACTATTATCATTCTATTCTCCAATTTACTCTGATTGTTTTGACATAAAATTTCCGAAGGAAAAAAATATTACAACTTAATAAAAATAATTTATTCATTTACTTTTGGTAAGTTATTTTATACACTTTATCCGATGGACTCAACCTTAACTTCGATATGACCTTTGCCAAACCCCGAAAAAAAAGAGAGTATTTTATCTAAAAAAGAAAAATATTTTATGTTGAAACAAACGGATCATTCAAACAATTTTTTTACTTTTTAGTATTTGACAAATGTCTTGGTCGAGATTGACATCAAATCCATTGAATTGGGCGTGTTAAATAACTTGCTAAAAGTTAGTGTAAATTATTTTTATTAAATTTTAATAAAATATTTTATTTCGTAAGTATTTTACTTAAATTTTTGACAACCAAACATCAAAAAAATATATATATATATTTTTTAAAGAATATTTTAAATCCAAACAAATCGGATGTAAATATTTGAATAAATTCGTGAGAAGTCATCTGAATTTATAAAAGTGCTTTTAACATATACTCGCCAAACACTCCTATATTTTTAAAAGCGCTTATAAGGCTTCAGAGTTCTTCCAAACGCTCCCTAAAGCCAAAATTACTAACTCAACCCGACACCACATGTTATATAACCTAAAAATGTAAACCCTAGCTCTTATATTCCCCATTCATTTTCTGTGTTCGTCGGCGCTCCAAATTCCAGCTCAAAGTAGCTCTGCTCTCTCTCGCTCTATATATATATATATATATATATCTTTTACTAAATTGCGCTCAATGAGTTTGTTGATGAATGTGTTTGTGGATTTCAGGAAATAATCGAAGATGAGTCGAGGAGGCGCAGTGGGTGGTCCCAAGGGGAAGAAGAAGGGAGCGACGTTCACGATCGACTGTGCGAAGCCGGTGGAGGATAAGATCATGGACATCGCCTCGCTGGAAAAGTTCCTCCAGGAGAGGATCAAGGTCGGCGGCAAAGCTGGTGCTCTCGGCGACTCCGTCACCGTCTCCCGCGAGAAGAACAAAATCACCGTCACTTCTGACAGTAACTTCTCCAAAAGGTAATTTTATCATCTAATATATACAGTTGTTGTATCTATATACACACGCACATATATATTGAATTCGAATTCTCTGTATTATATTCTCTTATATGTATGGTGTATTGTGATACGCTGAATTTGTGTGATAAATATGTGATTTTTGTGCAATTTACTACAAATGGTTTGATTGGTAAAGTTTTAATTGCTTATGGAATTAATTGGTTACTGTTGAGATTAAAACTAGTTTGATTTTCTGCAATGGACCTTTTTCTGGGTATGTACAATGAAATAGCATGATAGTAGTATGAATGTGAACATATTAGTGGAATGGTATAGGGATGCTTTGTTTTGACAAAAAATAATGGGTTTACATGCAAAGAAAAAGATTTTAATACCCAAAGTAAAAAAGACTCGATAATTGTTACCTTAATTTCAGGGTGAGATGTGTGTTGGGAAGATGAGATGATTGGACCATCAATAAAAAGAATCATTTCCTTCTTTTTTATTTTCAATTCAATCAGAGGCTAAATGAAGAATGGGGGAGCCACTCTGTGATCTTGAAAACAAAGTTCTAACAGGATTCATATCAGCTGCATGTTGTTATTTTAAGTTGAAATTTATGATGAAATAATCTTTGTGCAGCTAGTCAGGGTTGATAGTTGTGGTCAGCTAGTAGATGTAGTAGTGTGTGGTCCTATATGTCACACATAGTGTAGCCTTCCTCTGCTTCCCTTGGATTGGGAAATTGCTTTATGCTCTGTTTGGTGAGGATGGAAAAGTGGGTGGAAGGGATAGCAAAAAGGATGGATGAGGCATCCCTAGATAAGGGTAAGGTGTCTTCCACCCTTTTGATTTGATTGAGTGAAATGGATAGTAAAAAGGGGATGGATGAGTTGAACTATTTCTTCTTCTTTTTTTGTTAGAAAGAAAGGAAGGAGATTTTACCTCATTTTATCATTATGTATTTCAGTCCATCTTGGCAATGCAGAAGAGCCTTATATGGGCAATGAACAGCTTTGAAGGGGGATTAAAATTTATAATAATAGTTACTTGAAGGGGATGGAATTTTATGGATGTGAAAGGATGGCCCATGCATCCATCATTCCCTTGCCCCCCAGCTTTCCCTCCTACCAAACTTCAGAAACTCTTTCTATCCCTCCATCGATCCCTCCTACTAAATGGAGCATTAAGGTTGTTTAATGAAAAATAATTTAAAAGTTATGTTTGATTGTCACAGGTCATGTATATTTCAGATTTAAAAGTTAATTTATGTGTAATATTCTTTTATTTCCAGCATAAACCCCTAGTTTCCATTGTGATGGCATTGGATCTGGTGATTTGATTCAGCTTGTTTGTGTAAGATGTGAATACAACCTTCCTTTGTTTGATTGTTGAGTAACCGTAGCATGTATATGTACATCGATCTATATGCTGCCTTATATGAGCGGAAAACTGTTTTATCACTGTTTGTCTTGGGCTTTATAAGGGTAACGGCCATTTGGCATTTATTATGGGTGTCATGTGGGCTATTAGGCTCTTAAATTGGCACATATTTTTGGTCGTTTATGATTTTTTTTTTTTTTCGTCCCCCTTCCTCTCTTCCTACAGGAAAGGTGGTTGAGGGCTTAGCAGCCATTTACTAGATACATGGTCATTTCACATACTAATACATACTAATTTTGAATTTTTTTTAAATGTTATTTATGTATCTACTTGTATGATGACACACAAATTTTGTTGTTCACAGCTTCTTGTTGTATTGTGTATATGCCCAATTGTGGCACACTCGCTGTGAGAGCTTATCTCAATCCAACTGAGTGCACACTCATGATAGACTTCTTCTCCCAAAAAAAAAAAAAATGGAAAATGAAGGAAGAGAAGAAAAGTAGGGAAATAAAATGTTTGCTTTACAAAGCGAACGGAGGGTTTGTAAGGATGAACCTCATCATAAGATAGTTCATATGCAACAATTGTAGGTCTTCAAGAGTTCCAAAAAGTTGTATTTATTTATTGTGGTGATCACTTCTGTCCCGTACAGCTGATGCTGTTGGATCTGCTTTCTAAGTTGGCTGTGATTTCATATTTATGGTTTGATGTTGTTTTGTGATTTAGGTATTTAAAGTACTTGACAAAGAAATACCTAAAGAAACACAATGTGCGGGATTGGCTTCGGGTTATCGCATCCAACAAAGACCGGAATGTTTATGAACTGAGGTACTTCAACATTGCCGAGAATGAGGGCGAGGAGGAAGATTGATAATCCAGATCAGTATTACTCATTCAAGAGACTCCATTATCTGAGTAGCCTGTAGTGCTTCTTTATGTTTATGCTGCCTGTGTGGCATAGTTTTTACAATTTTGCTTGCTCATTAGAGATATTGCGTAATTGCTAGTGTGGCATTGGGATGTTATGACACTCTGTGGGAGTTATATTAATGTCATATGCGTACAACTGTTGTGAATTTGTTCTGCTTATCAGCTAAACATTAGGAAAGTTCCTTTTTGTCTCAATACCTGCTGTGATAGACAAGTTTGTTAATTGCACTGGTGAATGGAGCTCGGGTATATGAGGTTCATTATTAGGCTCGTGTGATTTAACCTCGGACATTTGAGTTGGACTGAGGTTCCTGATTAGGCTTGTGTGATTTAACCTTGGGCATTTGAGTTTGACCGGCAAAGGAGCGAACCTGAACAGATTTCAAGTGATCAATAAGAGATATTTGAAACACTCTTAAGTGACCCATGCTCGAGTTTGACCTCAAGCTTGACATTAGGTCGTTAAGGTTAGTAATTAGGGTTTGTGCTTGTTATCAATTCAGCTGTGAGTTTGGCTTGATCTTGAGTTTGAATGCTTCTAAATTTCTACAGTTTTTTAGACAATCTAGTTTTTATTTTCAAAGTAGCCTAAAAGTCTCAAATGTTCAAGATCTTAGTTCTGCTTAGCAAAAATTTATTTTGACCTGGGCCGGTCTGATATAGGTGTACTTCCTTGCTTTGGGCTTATTTCAAACTTTGTAACAACTAAAGTTTAGGCATTGTGCATGCAGCATGAACATGAAGAGAGTCATTAAAAACATCTCTTCCCAGAATCTGATCTGCCCATCCTGAAAGACTATATATTTTATTCTTTGTACTTTAAAAATAAGGCATTCTTTTCTTTCCTTTTTTTTTTTTTTTTTCTCGTCATCTTTTCAATTTGTAAAAATTATGAATGCAGTTGTTATTTACCAATAGAGATACTGCTCTTTGGTTTTCTTCATTTTAAACTATAAATGAACAACATTTACCTTGCTTTCTTTTCCTTTCTTTAATGCATTCAATTCAAAAACACCCACTGGAAGATGAAAATGAGGGTTTGAGAACTAATGGTTCTTATAAAAGGTTTTCATAGATGGGTCGTTGGTTGTCCCTTGTTGCAAGTTATCCAACATTTTATTAAGACTTGTTTTCTGCTTCCAAGCGTTGAACAACAGAACTTTTCATAATTATCCTTCAGTTTGAATGAAAGTTATCGCTACAAGGATTACGGTAAACAGTCTGCAGCACTTCTCCACCAGCCTTAACTAGTACAATCTTCCGAGACTCGGAATCCATGCATAATAATTTAAGCTTGGTTTCTTCTTAGCCTGAACTTGGATAATACCTTCGTTGAAGTCTTCATGGTTCACCTGGAAAGCACCGGATGAATGGTTGTTTAGTAAAAAGAGAAGAAAAACGAAAACATGTGGCCAAACGCTAACTCCAAGATTTCAAAATATATTCACACAAGTGAAGTAGATGTCAGATGTGTAGTCAGCTATGTTAAATGAAAACCGCACAAAAATCCATGGTGCTTAAAATTTTTATATGCTCCTATCAGATAGTGGAACTTCATGCTCGCACACTATTGAGATCATACTTCCTGAATAAAATGAAGTTTATACACAATAAAAAAAAAAAAAAATTCTCCATCTACGTTTCACCAAATTTTCAACACATGGCATGATGCTTATAATGATGAATAAATCAATCTACTTCATAAGTGTTTTAAACCTCGTCAATTAATATAATGCAAGGTTCTTGAAATTGAGTTTCTATGCTGGATCAGTAAGGAGGTCTGGAGAGATCAGATTGAGAATCTTTAGATCCACAGAATGAGATGAATAATATCTAAAAACACAAAGTATATGATGAACAAACCTAAACCTCATGAAAAAAATACAAATGAGAGAGAAAGACCTGAGTGGCATCGCGGTGAAGAGCTAGGATGCCAGCCTCCGCACAAACAGCTTTCAACTGTGCCCCATTAAAATCATCGGTGGAACGAGCAAGCTCCTCAAAATTAACATCTGGGTGAACAGTCATCTTTCTAGAGTGGATCTACAATCCCAGTGCAAATTATTCAATAAGAGTTCATCAATCATGAGAAATGAGATACTTTAAACTTTATAAAAGCACACACCTGCAAAATTCGAGCTCTGGCTTCTTCAGTGGGATGAGGAAACTCAATTTTACGATCCAATCGACCAGATTGCATGAGTGCAGGATCCAAAATATCAGCTCTATTGGTTGCAGCTATCACCTGCAGTTCACCAGAATACGAATTACCAACTCAGATAATAAATTAAGTGAACTGAAATTTTATTAGTTATGTAATGCCACATTTGTAAAGACCTTTATCCATTCATCACTACTAAATCCATCAAGCTGATTGAGTAACTCCAACATTGTTCATTGAACCTCTCTATCCCCACTGACTTCACTGTATTGAAACAAAGAATTACAATCAATTAGTCCCATTATGACACAATTAACCTCTTTAAGTATTCAATCCCAAATTCAGAAATTGCATACCTGTCGAATCGCTTTGTGCCTATAGCATCAATTTCATCTATAAAAATAATGCAAGGAGATTTCTCCTTCACAAGCTGAACAGCATCACGAACAAGTTTTGCTCCATCCCCAATGAACATCTATGAGCAGTACAAGTACTATTACTTCTTCAATCGTAAAAAAATATTTACTATTGAAAATAAATCAGTGCACACTTGAATAAAGAGCATACCTGTACAAGTTGGGGACCTGCTAGCTTAAGAAAAGTAGCATTGGTTTGGGCTGCACATGCACGGGCCATCAAAGTCTTCCCAGTCCCGGGAGGTCCATACAGAAGCACCCCTTTGGGAGGACGAATTCCTAGTTTCTGGAACCGTTCCTTGTGTGTCATCGGCAAAACAATAGCCTCAACTAGTTCTTGGCTCTATCAAAATGAGAATGAACTCCGAGTTAAAATTAATATATCAGCTAGACAAATATTAGAAAGTTGTATTCAGAGCATAAGAAACTTGCCTGCTTCTCAAGACCTCCAATATGGTTGTAGTCCTCTGTTGGTTTTTCATCTATCTCCATAGCCTTGACTCAAATCACCAGGCTTTAGCTTATCAGGATCAACCAAACCAACCACGGGCAGAAAAATTGTCTGTCTGCAATTAAGATGGAAGAATGGTGTTTCAAACCAACAGGTCTGTGGCCTAGCGGTACCAAGCCCCTACCTCCCATAGGGAGGTCAAGAGTTCGAACCGCAGTGGAGGCATCAAGATCAAGTTTGAGGGTTTTCAATTTGTCAACTTAATAGCATGAACAGAATATAATTGACAAATGATATTAGGAGCAATCAGGATTTGAGTGTAATCATTGGCATACAAACTCAAATTTGCATATAAAATAGAACCTCTTTATACATATCTTTAGAAAATTAAAGTCTAAAAAATCAATAATTTGGACATAAAATAAGAGCTGCTCTGAAGATGATTCAACTTGGCATATAATCCAAAGAAGATGAAAACAAAAAAGAAATTTATATAATATTTGTATTTGAAAAAAGACACATAGATGCATAAGAACATGATGATTTACCTGGCGTGTAGACGTTTTCAATACAACACATTTACCCTTCCTTTGTGAATCAAGATCAATATTAGCACCATCGTCCTCAGCCTCATCCTCTGGATTCATTTCCAAAATCTAAAGACAGAAAATTTGCAGCGAATGAGCAGAACAATATCTACAGTAAACATGTGTTTAGACTCATTAATAACTTAATAGGTTTATTTTCTTTATTTTTTTTTTACCTTTTTCTCCATTTTTCTGGTTTCATAACCATTAATTGATATAGAATATTTAAAATATAATAGAAAAAGGAAAACAATAAAATATTCGGGTACCATTAGAATGACAGGTAGAGGCCTACGTAAGATTGCATGGGAAAGTTGAATTGCATGATTATGTGCTACGCATAAAAACCTACACCACCATTTATTACCTCCACAACGTTGCCGACCAAATAGGGAAGCTGCTTGTTGAGTTTTATTTTCTCTTGATTCTCCTTTATGTTTTCCTTGAAGGAATCCAATTCAAGATTGGATCTTTGCAACTCTTCCTTCAAACCACAATAGATTCACACAGAGAGATTGTCAAATTTAAATAAAATTTGAAAAACTAAATGAAATCCACAGAAAATGAGAGAGAGGTTTCACCTTGAGCACTCGATTCTCAGTATCTAGAAGTCCAGAAGCCCTACTAACATCATCTGTCGACATACAACCAAGCTGATCCTCGCTGTCCTCAACCATGGGAGTCGCCATGTAAGTGCAGATAATGAAGAACTCCTGTTTGCGAACAACTTTCTGTGAGAGAAAGAGCGAAGAACCGAAGGAAAGAAAACAAATCCAAATCCCTAACTTGAGAGAGAGAGAGAGAGTAGTTTGTGTGATATATGGAGCGAAAGCTAAGCAATTTGAAGGATCGAAGGAGTAATCTGATATTTATAGGAATCCTAATACCGTAGAAAAGAAAACTTAGTAGTCCATTATTCCCTTTTTTTTATTTCATGTCTTAATTATTTTTATTTCATGTCTTAAATTAATTGTCTTCTTCAAATAGTCAAAATAAATAAATTTTAATTTTTTTAAAAATTTCAAACTTTATAATTACATATATTTAAATTATAAGAGACAAATTGATAATTTTAAAATATTAAATTATATTAAATGCATGTCTTTTAAAAACTTTAATTTTTAAATATGTATTTTAATGTGGAACGGTGGGAGTAATATTTAGCTTCCCTTTTTAACTATTTTGGCCCAAATTTGCCAAATTGGGTATATTTCAATGGGCTTGCCTGAAATTTGGCCCAAAAAAACTGAATCGCAAAATGGGTTGCCATTTTTGGCGACCGCGGGCTCACTTTTGGAAGGCTGAGAGACGCTGCAGGACCTGTTTGGCTGAGAAATATGCCCAAACTTAGGTACCGAAAAAAATTATTTTAAATTATTATTTAATTTCTTTTATTTAATAATAGATACCATTATATTGATTAATTTCTTTTTAATATAGCCATTTTAAATATAGTAAAAAAAAATTTTAATTAAATATTAAAATATTAATATTTTTAGAGAACAAAAATACAACATTAAAATAGATAACTAA